CGCGCAGCTCATTTTCTCAGGTAGAGGTATCATTGGCAGCGCACCTTGCATACGCTTAGTCCCAGTCTTCTGCTTTACGAGACTGGGTGGGGAAATAGACAAAAGGCTAGTCGTGATTATGGAAAGGGTAACGAATACCAGCTCAGATGGGCTTACGTAACGTTAAAGACTATGGCAGTAACATAAAAGTGACCGTTTCGTTGGGACGACAGGAATAGGTTAATCGTGATTACTATCCAGCAAGCATATTGACTCGCCTACAACTACGCTGACCGCAGAGGAGACGAAGGTCACGCAAGCCCAGCAGCAGCCAACCTCCGGGAGACCAAATGCAGTCGGCAACGAACGGGAAGGTCAAAGTTCGTGCGTACAGCACGGATATAATACGAGGCAGACGGCCAGGCTGGCTAATTCAAGACCACCAGAGGCAGCAACCACAATACTCTGACGATGGAATTGAAAAGGGTTCTGAACCGTCAGTTCAAATATAATTTAGTCCATGAACCCGCCCCCTTTTCTTCTTCTTCTTCTTCTTCTTCTTCTTCTTCTTTATCTTTGGGAGATTATGAAAGCGGTAACATAGCTGGACCCCGAATCTTTCGGCATTTAAGTTTACTAAACATAACTACTCACTTATTTAGTTATACATACCCTGAACCTAACCCAAACCGTAAGACACAAGCCCGGGGCTTAGCGTATATAAGATGCGCTACCAACGATACATCTGCCCATTCCGCATACAGTTTCTACAGTCGCCCTACCAGCGTTTTTAAATTCAGTTCAGTTTTATTGAAAGATAAGTGAGGGCCATGTACAAAGTAAAATATACGCATTTTGTTTACGCTCCCACATATTCGATGCGACAAAACAAAATGCGGCCAAAAAGTGTTTATCGTGTTTTGTGACGAAAAACGTCAGACATTGGCAAGCAGTAACTTTTAGAACTAAAATTTCCTCTTATACTGGCTTTCACCTGGCTTTAATCAAATTGGTCTGTTTTCATCATTTTATCACAAGATTTTCGATTCTGGAACGATTTATTCTAGACTTTTCTTCCTATAACACAACATACAAAAACAAAAATATTTGGCTCTTCCATTCATAGCCCAGGCGATTTTTTCGATATTCAGCAACCGCCAACTTTGCCAAAATTCAGCCTGTTTCTCTTAAATAAACAGAACAAAAATGCAGTTTTCCTAACTCAAAGGCTTTCTGTGAATCAAGTCCACTTATTAAATCAAAATATTGGCACCAAATGCGCGCCAAACTACCAACTGCAATTTCGATTATGACTTTGAAAGTTGCCATTAGTAGAGAATATGCGAGTTCCAAAAACCAGTTCAGAAGAAGAGGATGCGATCACTGGAACAAGAGTTTTATTTGCCTGA